ACAAACTTCGTCCGCGTGCGATGCAGACTCCCAGAAGCACCACGTAGTCCTAGCCGACATTGGTCGAATCTGACCGAAAGAGCACCTCGTTCTCGTAGTTGCCGAAGAGGTCCAACCATATCCCACGCTGCCGACTGATCCGGATTTTCCAGGACGTAGTGATCACCTCGACGTTCCTGCTCCAAAGCCAATTCCACCGCAAAGTCCACCAGCTGCTTTGCTCTCCGCCGTTGACGACGTAGAACCAACCTCCGCATAGCGTTTCCAGAAGCAACCGCTTCAATGGTGACCAGGGTCCACAAGGAAATGCGATGACCAGCATGAAGGGCTTCTCCTTGCGGATTGTCTCCAAGCACCGCTGTCGATCTGCGTGCTTGTGAAAGTCATAGCCACTGCCCAAAGTCATCGTAGTGCCAGTCGCATGGCCCCGACGTTGAGCAGCACGAACCACCGGCTCGGTGTCAGTGAAAATCTCTGAGATCAGCGGCTTCTGCCGAACCGCCTCCCAGACCGAATTCTCCCTTTTCTCAAGCGGCACAAACTGCGTCACCCCATACCAGGGCTCGCACTCCTCCAAATCAGCCGCCGCTTGCCGCCATAGATCCTGACAGATCTTCAGTCTCTCTGAGCGAGGAAACCACATCGTAGTGATGCGAAGGTCGCCCAGGTCCGTTTCCTCCTCCGGTAGTAGATCGTGAGGTCGATGTAGTTCTCATTGAGGTTGCCGATGAAGACGACATCGAAATAGATTGTCTCCACCTTCGTGCCATAGATCTTCGCCATGATCCATCTGCGTCAACACCGACTCCGTCAAGAGCCGCAAAAGACCTTCATCCATCTCCGTCTCACCAAGCTTCACGCCCATGTCCTCGACCGCCATGCCACCCTTCGCCTGAGCTCCACCCACCGACAGAACTCCACATAAAGGCCGTTCCATCCATTCCTTGAGCACGTCCGTGTGCTGTGACTCCAAGGCCGTGTCAAGCACCTCCTTGTCTACATGAAGTTGCCGTTGCCGACGAAGAGCAGATTGTACACCTTGAAGCACCACTTGTCGCTCGCCAGGCTTTAGCGCTCGAGGGGGAACTCCATCAGGTTGAACTCCATCTAACCCATCGTCTCGGCGTCCACCCCGTCCTGCGCCATGTTGAAGTAGCGGGGAGCCAGCAGACTCCAGTCCGGATTCTCTGGACTCTCCACCGTGGTTGCCGGGCTTGAGGATGCTGCTTGTAGTTGTGGTGCGATCATGGCCGTGACCGCCTTGGCTAAGGCCTGGGGCTGGTCGTGCTGGAACTCCACCCTGCGCTGATCCAGGATGGGCCTCGGCACCTGCTCCGGGATGTTGACCGCTGCTTCGACCTTTGACCTGTCTCCACCGCCGGATCCGCTGGAAGAGTTCTTGCACTCCGGCTTCTTTACCACCTCGCCCTTGAGCGTCTGCACCACTGGAATGATCTTGCTCTTCAAGGTGTCGATCTTGTCGTTGCCCTCGACCTTGATGTGGAGCAACGTGGCCAGCTGAATCAGCTCGCTCTTCAACCGTCGAATTTGCGCGGCGACCTTGTCTTCTCCACTCTCTCGCAGCTTCTGCATTTCTGCGACCATCATCTCTTGCCTCCGTAGTTTCCGCCAGGTCGTTGACGAAGGGCCTTCAAACCTGCCGTCACCATCTCGTCCTCCATGAAGGATAGAACCATGCCCATACGGCTTCGCAGAAAGATTGCCGCATTGAGCATGACCCCATTGAATTTTGGCGCCGCCAGAGTGACCCATCGTCTCGGCCACGAACCCCTCAGCACCATATCCTCCGCCTGTTGCTGCCATTCGCTCACCATGGTTGTCGAAGGATACGGAGTTGGCAGGAAGCGAAGAGCAGGTCGCTGCAAGAGCCAGAGCAACACGCCCTGCCAGTGCCATAGGCTTCGCTTGACCAGCCTGAGGGTGAAGCGCGCCCATCGACCTACGCGAAGTCCGGGGTCTCGTTCCATAGGAGCCGTCGGGGTATCTACCTGAGGCTTGATCTCAGAAGGCTCGCATTCGGAAACATAGTTCTCAGCTCGCCCTCCGTGATCACAAACCAAACTCTTCAATCTTGAAATCCACCAGTTCATCTTGGACAAGGACTGCACTTCACAGATCAGCCCTGCCCAAACGACACCACTTCTGATCTCCAAGAGGGGGCCAATCACTCAGTTTCGTGGGGAGAGGATTCAAGGACGCGTGGCCTGCTTTCATCTGACCCAACCGCAAAACCGGCTTGTCGGGAAGCAACTGGAGCGTCATCCGGTTTGACACAAAGTTCACCAGGGCACCCATGGCCTCCAGAAAGTCCTTCCCCAGCAAGCAACCCAAAAATCCACACGGTATAATGCTGAGCCATACACAAACCACCGCGCTTCCAATGATCATTGGAAGCCTGACCCTTCTCGAACTTCTCAAAACACCACCATTTCCAAACCTGAATGATTCCTCCTCCTGCTCGACCTGAACCAGGGACTTGATGGCTTGGGGAGCCCTTTGCAGTGCGTCTTCGTATTGCTGTACCCAAATCTCACCTGCGCAGGAACGGTTACACGCGCTGTCAACAGCTGCCTGGTAGATTTTCTCGGGATTCAAAAGCTGCCTGTCGTCCCTGGCTGCTAAAACTTCTGATAAACGCTCAGCCATCATCACCTCCGAGATGTTCTCCACTGAACTCATCATCACCTCGGTCTCAGGGCATGAGATCCACAAGGTTGGTCTCCTTGACATCGGGCTGACCCTTGAAGTTGAGAGCCTTGGTCAAACGCCCAGCTCCCTTCTTGCCCTTGCCATCCTTGGACTTGCCGCCTTTCGCGCACTCCGAATCTCCGGCCCAGCGACCGTGTTGGTAGCACGCCCGACACTGCGAATTCTTCTTGTCCGGGCCCTTTCCAGTTCCACGGCCAGCACCCTTGAACCCACGGTCCTTGCGAACGGCCGCTAAGCGGGTCTTGGCCTCCCTCATAGTGACCAAAGCCTCAACCGCTTGCTCCAGCTGACCTTCCAACTCCGCCAGCGTCTGCTCGTCCAAGGACTCGTCAGCCGCTGCCTCCTCCAACTCAGAAGCCAACACCTCCACTTCGCTCTGCAGAACTTCCCTGGCCTCAATGGCTTCTCCAGCCTCTCCAGGATGCCCGCCACAATCCTCGGCACCAGCAACAACCACAACCTCGGCCTCGGTCTCCTCATAGTTGCCATACCATTCCTCATCCGCATTCTCCGCCACATTGGTCGAATGATGACCACCAAAGCTCCTCCGGAACTTGCCGAACGTGGAGGTAGTAGATGAGGAAGGCGCCGTAGACCGCGAATCCGAAGAAGTCTTTGAGAACCTGCTGTTGTTGAAGAAAGGCTTAATTCCAAAACCAGGACGACGAGGATGGGCTTGTGGGCCTGCGTTGTGCATCCGCTTGAACAACCTCAGCGACTCTCTCTCGCAGTCCGCGTAGACATCCGCGTTCGTGCCCAAGGTGGTCTCGAGGAGCTGCTTCTGGATTCCACTGAGGCCCAGCTTGTTCTTGTAGAACCATGCGGCCTCGGCATCATCAACCACCACGCCCTCGCTCTTCAACTCTGCCAGGAGGGTCCGGTACCTCAGCGCGAAGTTGCTTACACTCTCATGAGCTGGACGACGAAGGTGAAGATAAAACCTTTCTCGCAATTCACCTCGCCGATCAGTGAGGGTGCGTCCGACCATCTCCTCCCAAGCATCCAGGATCTTGTAGATGCCCCGCGTGTAGTCCGCCTCCACCAAAACCAGTTCCTCCTCCGTTTCCGGGTCCTGCTGAGTCTCGGCTGGGCGGTATTCCAGGTCCGCGGGCTCGAATTCCAAAGCTCTAAGCCGAGCTGATCCCTTCTGCTTCATGGCAAACCTGGCAGCAAGGTTGAAGTTTACAGTCTTCGTGAGGTCGATCGAAGAAACCCACCATGACACCAGTTTGCGGAAGTCCCGCAACGACTCCGCCTTGCCATCCCAAACCGGAATGGATGAGTCAAAGCCTGACTCGCTAAAGCCTCCAGCATATCCGTGGCCCCGTGCACCATCGTCAGACTGACCTCCGCCAAAGCTAGGCATAGCCACCGAAGGTCAGGTTCTGGGCCTTGTCGTAGTAGTCGATGTCCTTCGTCACGTAGAGCTCGATCTCGACGTGAGGCCACTCAGGGAGATGGCCTTGGCTGTGCTCGTTCTCGAAATGGGCAAGGCCACCAAAGGAGATGACCTGCACAAAGGCTTATGAAGTTGCCGCCGCTGGCGACGAGGTAAGGTGTGCTGCCGCTTGCAGCGAGGCGCACTATGGCGCGGCCCGAAAGCCTATATGGAAAAAGCAAATGCTGCTAGCTAAATGCTGTGCGTGGCCCCAAAAGGTTGCTCCGCTACCACTGTGGAAACCAGTAGGGGGTTGATGCGCTGCAAAAACCACACCCCGCGCTAGGATCCTTTGACTCAAGAGCTCTGTGATGATGAACCGGGCGCGGCGAGATGCAAACAGTCTGAGATGTCCAAGGCAATCCTGTGGCTTTCACAATTGTCGTAAGGGGAACCCTCCCAACCAAGGGGTCAGAAAGGACACTACTGGGGGACCTAGACCAATTCTTTGTTGCTCTCCTTCGCGAAACATTCCCCTTTTCTCCCCTTGAAAGTCCGAGGCACGCCATCCCGAACGGGCAAATCACTGCGGGGACCCAAGACCATCCTTGCGGTTGGTTGCCCGACCCGGACGGACGGGCTACGAGACGAAGAAATCCAAGGCGTTGTCTTCCATTTGCGTTTTCGCCCCCTGGAAGAAATGAGAAAATATGTCCAGTAGTGAAATCATGTTTCTTTCAAACCAAAAAGGGGGAAACAATTCTTATCTTAAGCAAATAATGGAAGTTGTAGTTATTATATTTTTTTGGGTGGGGATCACCCCACCAAAATGGACGTTGTCTATCCACCGCTGCCTTTGAATCGCAGTAGCACGCGCCGAACGAACCCGGTCCAACGTGCGGAAGTCACCCATGAGGATCCTGAGAGTTGCAAGGGGACCCTGGAACCCTGAGCTCTCCAATGTGTCATGTCCAATCTAGACTTGGGTACCACGAGGAAACCAACTGAGTCATGATCAACACCGATCGGTATTCAAACGGTCTACGCAGAATGCAAAGAATTAGAAAGGGGGATGCCCGCACCCATTTATAGTTGTGGCTGTCCCTTACTAATCTTCATCTACCAGTGGCTCGACTGCTTTAGGGACCACTTGAGTCAAAATCAAAACCCGGCATTAAAATGGTCTACCCAGAACCATGTAAAGAATTAAGAAGGCGGCCGCAACTATTTCTGGCTGGGACTGCCCCTTACTAACCTTCATCTACCCGGGTTTTGATGGTGGCTCACTTTGAGACAAACCCAAATTTCCGCTCGTTCGTTTCGCCCTTCCAACTCAACTACCCCGACATCTCGCCGCTCAAAGTGCGGCCCAGCAGCACAAACTCCTCGAAGTTGAGAAACCCGCTCCTGGGGCGACAAAAAACTTGGTTGCTTTCTGCTCCCCTGCTAAAAGTGACTATCTTTTAGTGGCTTACGGAAACCAATTCATTAGTTGGCAAGTTAGAGTCCCTTGGCATCCCTTGGCAAAATGCAAACAACTTTGTGTTCCCAGATTCTCCCGTATGGCGGGGAAGAGTGGACTCAAGCGCGTGCCGTGGCTACTGCAGCAAATGGCCCAGTTGTTGCTTTGGATACCCTTTTTGGGCAACCAAAAGGAAACCATCTGTTTGCATGGTGCCAATCTGTTCAGTTCAGCTCAGGCGCTGATCTTGATCCACGTCCAAGAGAAGTCCTTAGCTCGTGGAAGTTGGGCGCCCAAACATGCAAAGCGCGCTATCCATAGGCATGCCTTTCTCCGTTGTTCAAGCAGGGAACCCAGCTTAGTTTTTTGTTTAGCCTGTTTTACGCTCAATTTGAACATGCGCATGCCCCAACTTCCTTCCAATTGCTGATTGGGATTGGTGGTTTGCTGGTAAAGGAGGGGGTTCCCATCTACAAGAACCAGGCGTTCAGATCCAAACCCAAACCACCAATCCAAACCACCAGTGAAGGGCAAGCTCCTCCCACCCCGCACTCCAAAAACAAAACGCGCCGTGCGCCCCAAACTGCAGCTTTCGGGGCCTGGCCCTCGGGGACGCGGCACCACTAAGCGCTGCCAAAACGCCGCTGAGATCCTCCGTTGTGGCTTTGTAGCCTGAGCGAGCGAGGCAAAAAAGCCAGCTTTGCGTTGGCCGCGGGTAGCGACTCAAAGGGTAGGGCTGATCGAAGTCTGGTGACCGATGCTCTCAACGTCACTGCATAAAGCTTCAACAACACCCGGCTGCATCCCTTCCTGAGGGAGCGGGTCGCCCCATCCCATTTATCATTCGCAAAAGGGAAGATGAAGAGGAACTCTAGCGTTCGCCAAGTGCAGAGGGGGTGGGGATAGGGATTACCCTAGCCCTGCATCATACTTTGCACGAGAAGCCGAGGGAACGGAAGATGGTCCCAAGCTCGAGCGTGCAAATCTCTCCAGAGCCATCTTCCTCACGCCGTTGCAACGCAAAAAACATCCTTCAGGGGGATGGCTGGTGATTCAAAATTAACTTCAGCTCTTGCCCAGCCTTGATGCACAATGCGCTTGGGACATGTATGATAACTGTTTGACTCTCTTGAGTCAGTACGATCTAGTCATTACACATCATTTGATGCCATGCAATCATCATATAGGCGAGCGTCATCATGCTGCACATAGAAGTCCCGGATGTCAACCAACTCATCCGAGGAAAAGCCACATTGCTTCCTGCGAACCGATCTGTGGAAAATCTGCGGAACTTGGAGCCGACTTCAATCGAGGGACTTATTGCTCAGGGGTGGACGCATTGTTCACGGGACCCCAACAAATTGTGGTTGTCCTGTTGGGTTTTTCCCTATAACCCACAAACGAGAGGCACCCTCAGAACAAGATGCACCCAAACCTGGCCTGAACCTCCAAACAAAGTCGAAGAATTCCTCAGCTCGGGCCGAACCTCCAGCGCCTAAAACCTTCAGTGGGCCCGGGCATCAGAGGTGGCAATTCTTGGGCGCTGCCCCAAAGAAACCAACAGCCCAGCGCATATGGGTCTCTCTGTTTTTGAGGGATACCTTTTGAAATGTAGTTCTAAAAAGAAACCAACAGGAAAGCCACCAACAATAGACACATTCATATCGAGCAATGTGGGCTCAGTGCGGCTCAGCAGCATCATAATCGAGGTCCTGGCAATTACAGCAACTTCCAAGGGGCCTCTAACAATTGGAAGCTGACGGATGACACTGCGGCAGGCGCAGTTCGAAAGATCCTTTCTTTTTTGCGATCGCGGTGTTTCCAGCACCGCTAAGACCCCATTCCAGCTGTAAGTTGCTCGTGCTGCAAGTTGCACCTTCCAGCCTTTTAGCAACACCCCGCATGCGGCTGCTTCTCCAAATCGGTCCATCAAAACGGACCAGGGCTGTGGGAAATGACCACTGTGATACGTTACAAAAAGGGCCTCCCAAAGACTACCCCCCCATATAAAGAGGGGGAGATTCCAACTTGTATCACAGTAATCGGAAGAAAATGGCTGTGGGTCACATTCAATGGGATCCCATTTTGGGGGTTTTCGGTGAATTCACCACCCATTTGGGCCCAAAAGTATCACATTTTGCGGTGAATTCACCACCCATTTTGGCCAATGTTGGTGAATTCTACCCATTTTGGAGTGGGTGGGGAAAACCCCCGAGTGCTCCACCACGTCGTAATCGAAACGGACTCGGATCGACGGATCGGACGGCTAAGCTCTTCGATAGATCCCAGGCCTGCGGGATCGGCACGCCGATCACCTGGTTGTAGATGTCCAGCATGGCTTTGGTCAGCCTTGCTCCCCCCCCCTCCCCACAAAACAAAAAACACACACACACACACAAAAAAGAAGAAGGAGAAGAACAAATACGCAAAAAGAAGGAGGATAAATATATATATATATATATTGAAAAAAAAAGCAAGGCCACTGTGCAGAAGGAGCGGACCCAAAAAAAAAGTGAAGAAAACAAAAGCATGGGCGCGCGCTTTTGACTGGGCTGCTCAGAAAGCTTTCCAACAGACCTGTAGGGAAGCCACTACGAAGGGGACCCCTTGCGCAACGACCCAGTTGAACCAACAATTCGCGAAGAAAAGACAAAATCGCTGGCCAGCTGCATGCCTACCCCCACAATTGATCAGCATTGCAATCAAGTGGCGGTATGTAGCCCAGACCTGGTTGGGCTTGCTCCGGTGATTGTTTGAACCCTTTGGCTTTGTATGTGCGAGGGATTTTTTTGGGTAAAGCACACCCAAAAAGCTCCATCATCTCTTCGGGGCAATGCTAGGTAAATCAAATGCTACCTGTGGGAAACGACCACTTTTGTGATACAGCAAAAAGAACCCCTTTTTGCCGGGGATAGCCCCGAGTGACCCCACAACCCTGAGCAAGAGCGATTCATCTTGCGATCTATTTCAGAAGCGACTTCAGGCAAAACCCTTCTGGGTGCGAACTAGATAGGGGGTCTGGACTCTTCGCCGAGAAAAGCTGCCCATCCCACCCTTTTACCATAAAACCTGACCGGTCCAGGCCGGGATTGGACCATTTTCCTTTTGAAGGGACCGTGTCCCTGTCAGGTTCCATGTTGATATCCCTCTTGGTTTCCCTTTGTCAAAATTGCAAAAAATGGTCGTCCTTTTGCCCCTTCAAACCAACCCCAAAAAGGGTTCCCTCAAAACTGGGCCGCCCTCAGATCCCCCGCTAAAAGTTTGCTCGAAATCCCGCACCAAACCCGAAAAAGGAAGAAAAAAAAGCAGCTAAGAAGCTAAGGAACCGGATGGCTGGGAGCCACCAAGACAAGCAATCCCCATGGCAGCCCTGGGATGTTTTTTTTTTTTTTTTACCAGGCCGCTCCGAAGAACTTCGCGCAGCTCTTCGTCACTGATATGGCCTGTGGGCGAGACCCCAAATTCTAGACCTGTCTCAAGGCAAAGCACTGCTTCGAGGGGAAAAATCTTGGACACTTTGAGTACTAATAGCGGGGCTCAATCGCTGATTCCAGCGCTGATTCTGGGGGGGATTCCTTTTGAGTTGGTGCCCCGGAATGGGCTTTCTCTGGGCCTAAGAGAAGACCAGCCCACATGGGATCACAATTTTGAGAAGCACCCGGCCATATGTCACGGTCACAACTGGTTGTAGTGTTCAAGTTGGTGCCTATCCAAGCCCAAGACCGGGAGACGCAAGCAGGCCATTGCAGAAAGGCTTTCATGCGGGCGGCAGAGAACCTGTCTCTATTATAGAGTTCCAAGAGCCATTCTGGAAGGGGGCCATACTGATTTGCCCTACCAGGGTGGACAAGTTAGAGATGAATAGCCGCAAGGTGCAAGCCTAGGTCCTCCAGTAGAGAGGTTAGAATAAGGGTGCCCTTTTTTCCGTAGTCTATTTTAGTAGGGGAACCGAATCTCCCAACCAAAAACGGCAAAAGGGCACTACTGGGGGACCATCCAAGCCGAAGAACGCGGCCTTCGATCGATCCAAGCAACGACCGAACGCCGCCTTCGCCATGTGGATTGCACCGCGTCGCAAGGCCCCGATCCTCACGGCTCACCTCAGACTGGTTGCAGTGGGGCAATAGGGAAGGGGCCAGTCTCCTCTCATGGCTCAAAACACCAGATCCACTTCGCACAAGTTGAACTCGCTGAGGAAACCCTTTTAAATAGGTGAGTTTGCAGAGGAAATCCTAGTGGTCAGAAGTTGAAGGAACTCCTATTATAGCTATTGCTGCTCAACAGTTGCTAGAAGTTGATGGGGATCTCAAAACGTCAAAAGATCTCAAAAGGCTTCACACGCCAGCAACCCCAAGCCCCGCTTGAGAGCACGCCCACGGCTCGCTCGCTCATTCTGACGTGGCGAGTGGCCGGCGCGGACCATCGGACGTGGCTCGGGGGCCACAAGGAGTCCAGCTGGCAATGCAGCTCTTCCCGGCAGCTCCTTGGGCTGAGATGCGATGCATGTGCACGGTCGAAATGACTTACTTGCGGCCGTTTCGCTACTTACTGTTTTTGAGCCTCCTATGGTTTGCCAGGTTTTTGGGGGCATTTTCACAATATCAATGAAACGCCGAATACTAAACTCAACAGAAGCAATTTTGACGGTACTTCGTATGAATTTCAACCTCAGTTTATTAATTGGGGGGGTCAAACTGGGTTTAGTCAGATCACTTGTTGGAGGGGAAAACCCACCCTCACATTTGTTAAACTCCAGGTTATGAATAGGGGGGCCCACAGCGGTGGATGATTTTTTGGGTTCAACAAGAAAAGGGTGCCCGAAAGCCTCCCCTTTTGGGTGGCTTACCCTTCCACTCTTGAAGGGACACCGCAGGTGCCATGTTGGTGGGAGAGAGGGTACTCCTCGCCAAAACCAGTGCTGCCCTTGGCAGTGGCGATGTTTCAAGGCAAAAAACTGGAACACTGGATATGGAAGGCACCCCCCCCATTTTTGGGCGTTTCGGTTTCTTTGTCGATCCCGTTAAAACCAAAAGAGGGGGCTCAAGTCCACTTTCGGCCAACCCCCATGCGGGCAGCTTCACAAATCTTCCGCGTTGCGACCGCGCAGCCGGCACAGAATCAGGAACTCTGAGAATGGGAGCTTCTCCGGTTCAAAGTCCTAAGAGCGCAGCTGGCAGGCGACCAAAGCTTTAAACAAAACCCTTACCCGCCAAGCAGCGGGATCTGGAGATATCTGCGTGGATCGCAGGATAAGGCCTGCGATCCGCCAAAGCAATCGACTCCGTGAGGTTTTGGCGAACGATTTATGCGCCTTTCTGAAGCTGATCCTGAAACTTGTCGGCAAAGCTGGTCACCTCCGCTTGTCCGCTTGCCAGCGGCTAGCGACGACTGCATGCTGCTGTGCTCAGGCGTCACAAGAAAGCAGCTGAGTTAAATAAGCTACTTCGCTGGAGACCCTCGAAAGCTCATCTGCGCGGATCAAGCTGATTTTTGGGACGGGCATCGTTGTCCCTCCTCACCTGGCGACCAAACGCCTGCATCATCGCAACACCTCAGCGATGCCAGGCGCAAAGGCTCAGCCCCCGAAAGCTTGGCGGCTGCTGACGTAAGCCAGTCACACGTCCCACATGCAACAGCCCGGTCGGACGCAAACAAACCGCGGGGAATCGCCAAATACTGCCTTGAAGCTGGGAAAAATTGGGACATGTGTCATTTGCCTTTTGGTTCCCCACTAAAAATCCAACCAAAGAAGGCGTCCCTAAAAAGAACCTGCGCACTCAAATGGAGCTGCCTATTGGCACTGCCCATACCCGGCGCCGGCGGATCGATATCGCCCAGGCACTGACCTTTGACACCGGCATCGCCTGCTCTCTGCTGTGCATGGCATGGATCTTCCGCAGCTCCTCCACCTCTGAGCTAAGCTTTTGATGCGCATAAAAACATCACACATTATAGCTCCAACTGTTGGAGGGGCCGATATTAATCTATTAAAAATAATCTCAGTTTATGAACAGGGGGGTGCTTTTCAGGCTGGGCTTCGTGGAGATTTGGACCACTTTTTGCAGGGGACCCCACCCCCAGATTCACGAACTGGGGTTGATTAATCTGGGGTCAACGTTAGCACGTCCCAGCTGAAAGAATGGCTGGATGTCTGGACGTCTGCTTGACTTGCTTCTTTTCTGATTGCCCTCTTGCATCTTGGGGAGAAAATGCGGGGAAACATGTCTGACTCCGAGTAGTTTGGGATGCTGGGGGGACGCATTGTAGATTAGGTAAGGTGGTGTTGGGTTGTTGGGCTCCCTGTTCCGTTGCATGCTGGGTTTGGCCTTTGCCCCACCTCCTCTCTGCAGAAGCCTTCACGACGGCGGTAGACCATCAAGAAAAGCACGAGCTCGTCAAAGGACTGAGTGTCCAGAACATCCAAGACCCCCGCATAGAATTCAGATTTTCTTTGTTTCAAAGGCCCACTTGCTTCTCGCATTTCATGATGGGCAGAGCCTTTGCACAGTGTTTTGTGGCAGCCAAGGTGCCAAACTCCTCTTTCTGCTGCGGCAGACCACTTCCACTGCTTCCTGCATCCGCGCGGCGTGAGACAATGCAGGATGCGCCAACCCGGCCCACATCTGAGGTACACAGGCAATATGTTCTCACATTTAGCCAGCCCGGCAAAAGACCCCAAACAGTGGTCAAGAATGACTACGGAACAGTAACATTGTTGAGGCAGGAGCCCACTCAGGCTGCAAGTGAGCCTTTGCTTCTGCGCCGAATTCCTGAAATGACCACATAGGGCCTCTATCGAAGGTCTAGCGCACACTCTTCATACAGAAGCCTTTGAAAGCTCCCATAGATGCTGAATTTCCAGTGGAAGGAAGTTCCGCGCAAGATCTCTCTGCGATAAATTCTGCTACCGTCATGTTTCTGTAGAAAGTCCTGGGAAGGATCTCTGTGGGAAGGATCCTTGCCGGATCTCTGCATAGGATCTCTTGACAGGATCTCTTGGCAAGTTGGGCGTGCAATTATCTACGAGATCTTTCTTCAGGATCTGTTGGGGGTGAAATCCTTGGTCCTGCCAAGACCTGCTGAGAGGATCTCTCTATGAAGGGCCAGCGCAAGACATCTGCGGGAGGATCTTTACAGGATTTCTGCACAAGATCTCTGCAAATCATAAGCTGCCCTCTACAAGCTTGGCCTCAAGATCTGTAGGAAGCATCCTGCCTGCAGCAGGGTCATTTCAAAAGGTCCTACGCATTTTTTTGGGGGATGCCTCTGGAGGGGCAAGGCTGACATCTTTAGGATCCCTTGATCTGCGTGCAGGATCTCTAGGACGGATTGCTCTCTTGTAGCGGGTGCTCCCTACAGATCCTCGACAGACAAGTTACACACAGATCTTGCCAAGAGATTCTATTGAGAGATCCCAGCCACCTGAAGTCCGCAAAGGGCTCACTTTCAATGTTCAAAAGTCGCAGAACGAGTACCCTGATCGAACACCCGGCCTTACTCCTACCGTAAGAACCGCGTGTAGACACCATTGAAGGAAAACAAATGAGGAGAACCCCCCCCCCTCCCCCCCCCCCGCAAAAGTCCTCCAACATGACGCGAGTGGGCATGAAGCCCAAATAGTGCGTCATTTGCCTGAGCTCCTGGCAATGCCCCAAGATGCATCTCAGCTTGGGGAAAAAAATCTAGTGCACCAAGCCATTGGCGGTCCTCCATGGAGATGGTACCAGACTCGTCTTCGTCAAATCGATCGAAAATCACCTCTCACTGAATCCGTCAAGCCGGGGTTTACCGATGCGTTCTATGCAGAAATCACGCCACACAACAAGGCACTCCGCCAAGCAGGCAAGGACAAAAAGGAACTTAATTTCAGCAAGGAAGCGCGATACCTTGGCATGCGGGTGTCGGATCAACTTCCCTCAAGTAAGACCCTCCCACAGGTTATCCCCAGACTCTACTTCAGCGACGAAAAGCTTGGAGAGCTAAGCACATCCTTGCCGGCAAACCAGTCCTTGCACTGCCCAAGCTGCTGGCTCTGGCAGTACTGCGCATATCTCCCCTGGGCTGCGCTGAATTTCAGAAACACTGGCAACCCAAATGAGCCATCCTTTGGCCTGTGACCGAACTCCATGCGTCAACAGGATGCCTTTTTCTGCATCCCCCCTCAGCATTTGGAATGAGTGATGAGCATCCCAACACGCAGCATCAAACACGCACCCTCTCGCGCATCCTATTGGCAAAGGCACAAACAACGCATGGGCACCATGAAATACCGGCGGGAGCCGCCACGTGTTGCTTGAGGGTTTCCACGAGAACCAGGCCGGACACCGAGGGCCTACTTTTAAATTTGGCAAATGCCACACGCGCATCGAAGATTCCTCACGATCGTTTCTTGAGCCCTGATGCCATGAAGTGCTGGAAGTCGTCAAAACCCATGTGTTCGTACTGGGTGGTCTTGTCCTCAGCGCCAAAACCAACCAGCGAGTTGCCAAGCGATTCTGAGCAAATCCAAACCTCATGCATGCCTGCATCGTGCCCCCCATGCATTCGTGCAGAAGAAATACAATCAAATGTCAATGTTCACACCCAACCTTGCACCCTGTTGCGCCCTTCTAAGACACGCGGCCATCATAGACCTGATCTCTGCCTGGTCTAGGAACACGCAGCCCAGAAAGGTCAGCAGCTCACAAATGTCCTTGGCGGCCCATGCGTTGCGCCTGTCTCGTCCCGCCTCACTGGCTGTTTGACTTTTTGCGGGCCACTGCAGCCATCGTGCTTCAGGTTTCCTAGGGTATTGCTTGTTGTGACCTGTACCGTCAATAGCCTCGCAGCACCCAGAGGGCAATTTCATGCGGGTTAGGCAAGGCACGTCCTTGTGCACATCGATCGTGCCTGGGATCATGAAACGCTTGAAGCCCGAGTAGAGGCGGTTGACTTCAGAATTCGAGAAGCCTTCCTTGGTCGGCTGGGAACGCACAACTTCCGCTTCTGCAAGCGCCATACGGCGGCTATGCAAACGCATCCAAGGCATGGCAAAACCTGCTACAAACTTTCCTGGACCCAGTCACAACGCAACGAGGGCTGCTAAGTGGAACCCCGGAGTAATAAACCCTTGGTTGATTCATAGGGTGTGTGTGTGTGGCCCCTTTTACTAGGGATTCATCGCTTTTGGAGGGAACGTCTATTCATCCGGGTCATGAAGTGCAGCCCAAGATTCCTCCGAGGGGTCCTTCTTCAAGCTGTCCAAAAGCCCGTCCAGCTCTTCCATTAGAGCCTGCCTGTTGGCAATCCTCTTGTCACGGGAGTCGCCTGAGCTGCATGCGTTGCGAAAATCCTCCCCCCCCCCCCGAACCACCACAGAGTCACGGCAAAATTGATTGATGTTCAGAGCTTGGTGCCCTCAACAACGGGCCATCAATGTCATTGGATGCCTGCTTCTCTGCAAGCCTTGATGGCATCTGGTCGTGTGGATCTTATTGCCCAAAAGTCGCATCGACTTCTTAGCCCATCTTGCGCGAAGTGCCTTCGAAAGGCCCAGTGTCCCGGGCCAGGTGAATGCACTAAGCCTCCAAAAGTTGACTGGAGACCCCCCAAGCGCTTTCGAAGGCCGCAACAGATTACCGTACTAGCCTGCATCTTCATTTGAGCAAAAAACAAGTGCGCACAACGGAAAAGTGCGCGTTTCAATCAAAAAACGCGCAAAGTTCCAAGAACTGCGCGAGGCGATTTTTGCTGGTTTGGGCAAATGTGCGGGGTGTGTATAGCCTGGACATGCACCTGTCAAGCTGTTCAAAAAAAACTAGGCAAGGATACATGCGCCTTTTCGGCCAGAACTCGCCTAGATGATCCAAGGAACCAAGGAGCATTTTGGCTATTGACCCTGCGGAGCGTTGTCGGGAATAGCCTTCAACATTGCCAAGCCAGCTTGACAATCAAGGGTTTCAGATCATTGAGATTGCAAGAGATCCGAACGGCTCTTCCAAGTGGCGCAGCTTCAACTGACAACCACATGTGGCTCAAAACAGATCTGTTGGTTGGCAATTCGGGCGCTTTAGACATCTTCTGCCTAATTAAAGGTCGAAAACGCGCGCATGCATGTGCACACTTTTCGTATTTGCGCGCAATTGCGGATATTTGCGCGATAGTACCGGATTTTTGCGCGCAAATTGCGGGCTGGCAAGGCGCCGAAAATCGACGAATTTCACCTATCGGCGAGTTGACTCAACAACAAGTGTGGCGCAAGCAGAGTTCTGGAGCAAACCGCGGATCCAAATCAATGGCCACAAAGTGTCGAGTGCAAGTGATAGCTGGTACTTGTGCCGGGAGCCATGTGTGCTACAAATTTCCTGCCTAAAGGCTTGGGTGGAGACAAAAGAAGAGCTAGATATGCTGTAAACATCAAGGACTTCAACAAACAGCTGCGCCGGCACGGGCACGAGCAGCGCAGCATCAATTGTTTCCACAAGTAGTACCGACTTTGACTACCAGAGGAGTTTCATCCGAAAAGTGCGCAAATCCCTCAAAAGTGCGCAAATTCCAAAAAAGTGCGCAAAGACACCACAAAGCGCGCAAACAAGCATTTGAGCAGAAAAAAGTGCGCAAACGAAGATTCAGGAGGGTATTCATGGATCACGTTGGCACTGCAGTCACGGACATCCAAGAAGGACTATGGGGAGGTACCTGTGGATAGACCTAGGATCAGCCCACGATAAGGCCTTAACAATGCCTGAAGGGTTTAATAGCCCTCCCCATGGAGCCACTCAAAACACCTCGCCCCCAGATCTTGGGGCGCTGCGACGAATTGCCTCAAGAGCGTGCTCCCGGGTGATGACGGTGCGGCGACCTCCAGAAGCAGCACTCGCTGACAACACATAGGTTCTAAAAGTTTGCATGGGCCTTTGGTATAAGCTGTGTCTGTCTGTCTCTCTCGCTCTCTCTCTCTCTCTAAGAAAGAGAGAGAGAGAGAGAGAGCAAAATAAAGGTAATGATTACGAGAGTGCGAGAGAGGAAACATTGAGAAACTGTATTATGACTTTCGTAGTGCTGTCCCTCTCTCTCTCTCACAATACACCCTACGAAGTCAGGTAGGACCACCTAGCAAAATTGCCAAATTGAATCACCCTAAACCTGCTCTAGCTGGCTTCCTTTCGGAAGACCACACATGTCCTTTGGTGCAAGCTGTCCGAGCCCGTCTATTATCAGGGTGGGAATTTCAGAATAAACTCTATAGTTATCTTTCTCTTTCTCTTGTTCTTTCTTTTTATCTTCTCTTGCTCTCTCTCGCGCTCTTGGTCTCTCTCTCTCTCTCTCTCTCTCTCTGCTGTGAAGATACAGCACTTCGCCGCTTGCAAAAGCGCAGCAAAGGCGGCTTTTGAACGCGCCCAGCCTGCCGGGGTCGGTGTTCGCAGGTGCTCGTCCATCTCATCTGGACTTATCGTGCGGCTGAAGCGCCGCATCATGCTGATGCTCTCCTGAGCGGCTGAAAAGGGGCGCCTGGTTTCGACCCCTCGGGCCAATGGAGCCTCTTCAGGGCCTTGAAACTCGCATACTCTTCGCCTTGATGAGTTTTCTGGAATCCAACGAAAACCGGTGAGTGGGATGGCCTGGGGCCTGGGTGCTTGGAAGAGTGAAATCCTGACGGGCACCATGCCCTGTTCCAACTGGACCAAAAGGATGCACAGAGACATGCAAACAAGTATACCAACACTGGCACGCAAATGCATGTTCACAGTCCTGTGCAAACATCATGATTTCGCAACTGCCTGACTCACAAGACTTCAAGAGGGTCACAACAACCTACCCAGACTGGCAGGCTAAAAAATGGGCGCGTCCTTGCGCTTGCTCGTCTGCGGGAGCTCTGCTAGCTCATCGGTCTCCGGCTCGCCCAGAGATATCTGAGTTTCCTGAGGCAGAATGAGGTTGGAAGCCACACGTGAGCGGGGACTGGATTGGGATGGCCTGGGGCCTGGGTGCTTGGAAGAGTGAAATCCTGACTGGCACCACAGTGCCCCGTTCCAACTGGATCAAAGGATGCACAGAGACGCGCAAACAAGTACACCAACATAGGCACGCAAAGGCATGAAAAATTGCCTCGGCTTCCTACTGGCAAAAAGGACTAGGACCCAAGACCCAAACAGTGCCGAAACGCATCTTGGCCAAAGCCTCTTGTCTCAAAGTGTGGCATTTTGCCAACGCCAGCGGAACAATCGGGGGGACCAAATGCAGCCACTGTGCTTCTAAGGCCGTCAGCTGCGCGTCCACTTCCTTGGCAGCTATGGTGAAAGGTCAACTCGCAGGGACCCCAGCGCGCAACAAAACTGCGTGCTCGTAGAGCCGTTTCGCGTGTGCGCGAGCCTTTTTTCCCCATGGAAGTCCTGTTTCGGGTTTTGAAGGGAGGCACAAAACACAAAAAAAGGGGGGAGTCGCCGTTTCGGAGAAGCAACGACTCCTTGGGGCGAAATAAACAAGCGCCTTCCTTGAAAACTTCCTCCCCCAGTAGAGAGGTTAGAACAAGGGTACTCTTCTTTCCGTCGTCTATTTTTAGGTGGGGAACTAAAAATCTCCCAACCAAAAAAGGTTGGGTGAGACCTAGCCGCCTGGCTGGGACCCAGCCACACGGCACGCGTGCCACATGCCCCGCTCGCGCGCGCGCCGAATCGCGCGCAAGCCCCGCGCCTTGACGCGGGAGGCCCAGCGCTCCATCTCCCCCCGCTCCTCGCCCTTCAGCGTGGCCAGGACCGTCTGGCTCCAGGCCCTCGGCCCGCGCGGGTTAAAAGCGGCCGAGAACGAACGCCTGCGGCAAATCCGCGCAGAAAGCCCCCAGGCGGCACCAAATCCACCGGACAAAATACGAATATGTCCGGTGGTGAAAGGAAGTGTCTTTAAAACCAACACAAAACAAATAAGAAATAGTCTTAAGCAAATGGAAAGGAGTACCAAACACCATGTTGTGCAGAATTTATTGAAGATCCAAATTCCAAATGGTCAGCGTCCCTCTAATTGCTGGTTTGGGGCCCGGTGGTTTGGTGGTTGAAGGGCGGGGGATTCCCATTTGCCCTCTACAAAACCAAGGGGTTCAAATCCAGACCACTCCAAAAAAATCAACCTAGATTTTAGGCCATGCAGAAAAAACACCAAGTCCACCTCGAAATTGTTGTAGACACGGCAAACCAACTGCCGGCCTCCCAAAAGTCTGTAGAGAGCCACCTATGGGCCCAGGTTCAGCCGCGGCGCTAGTTTTGACATGTCCTTTTTGCTTTGTCAGATCAACTCTTTGAGCACCCGCTTGTTTCAGGACTCCTTCGTTTTAAGATACTTCGGGGCAGGAACTGGAAGCCTGATACCCTCTGACCGGAGACGAGGGAAGACGTTGGAAATGGCGCAAATGGGCGAAGGGAGAAGAACATGCTGGATGCAAGTAGCATCCAAAACAAGACCGAAACAAACAAACAAACAAACAAACAAGAAACAGGGTTCGTCGAGCGTGCTTGTCCCACAGTCTCTACCCCAACCATCTCAGACGTCCGTTTGCAAGGGTGGTGGACCGCCAACTGTGTCCCCTGGTAAAGGCTTAACTTTTCGTGGGTTAAAATCGAACCACTAGGCACTCAACCGCTAAGAACCTAAGGAACCGGACGGCTGGGAACCGCCAAGTATTGAGGATCTATTGTTTAGTTACAACCTCCTTTTGGCCCCCCAATCCTCCGTTTGCTTAAGTCCCCCCCCAAAAAAAAATGTCCAGCAGCGAAATCGATTCCCTTTAAAACCGATGGGAGAAACAAAAACATGATCATTTGGCTGCCGCTCCCCCCCCAAAAACAAACAAACAAAGTACCGAAACCTGCGTAACCCCCTGTTTAATTTTGAGCCACACCCATTTCAGCAAACTGAAGCAATGGCTACCGGCTGGTGGTTTTTTTCACTTGTTGCCCTCTCCAAGCTTCGTCTCTGCGTCGTTCGTGTTCTTCGCGTCCAGCTCGAGAAAGGGGCTGGGGCTGACGACGCCGGGGGCCGGGCGCGCTTTCCTGAGTTTTTTTTCTGTGAGCCCAACACGTTAAACATGGGCCAGTGGGTGTCGCTCAAAGTAGGCCTCGGTCCCCTTGGACAAACGGAAACCAAAAGGAGACGAAACCTGAAGGGCGGTTCCCCTAGGTCTCAAACGTGGGGCACTGACAAGTGACTGTCCAGCTTTGACAAGGAAGAAAAATCCACTTTGTTTAGACCTTCACTCATGTTGGAATGTGAACGCAGGGCCGCTTTTATCTTTCAAACACATCCTCAGAGCGCTCAGAGCTCCCACTCCATCACGAGGAATTTAGGCCAAGGTGCTTTTTTGAAGTGGCCTCAGCTTCAAAGGCAACCTGTTGCAATGCTTGCGGCGGGGCAAAATAGCAGGAGTGGGCCAAGTTCAAATGAAACCATACATGCATCCAAGCCAAGCTCAAGCTTGCTTGCTTGCCACGCGTGCGCTCCAGAGAAAACTTAAGGTTCCGTCAAGCCATTCCAAGCTGAGCTGCGGTTTTGGAACCTGAGCGAGTTCTTCTTCTCCGTTCCTGCTGGAACATTCACTGCCGTGCTACGGAAGACAAAGCACTGAATCAAGCCCGCTCTGCAAGATGCCGCGTACAACATGCCATACCTGCCTGCCTCATGCGCTTGCGCTGCTTGCAACCTATCAGTCACTGCCAAGTCCTTCGGATCATCGAAGTTTGCTTTGACCCACTGCTCACCGCACCTTGGTTTGCACGTCCGTGGAAACGTTCTCATGGCCCTGACCACTGCGCCTTTCCCAAGCTTTCAACGAGAGCCCTGGGTGTGAAGTCCCTTGGACACCCTCGAAGCCAAACTGGACAAGCGCTGGCTCTACACAGCATCTTCTATAGGGGGCAAGGCCCTGAGCTTGCATGGAGCCGGATTTTCGTACCACTACGCCCTTTCCCTGAAATGCGAGGGAACTCGCTGTCAAGGTGCATGGTGTGCACAATCAGGCCAGGCTGTGACAGCTCCCGGCAGGCGTCGCACTTCATCTCCGCCACCAGCTGCGAAAGATCGTCGCCTCAGCAAAATCAAACCGCCGCTTGGCCTAAAAGTCGTTTCGGAAAAAATGAGTCTGTGTGTGTTTTCCTGGCTGGTGAGGAATCGCTGCAGTGTCAGGTTCTGTCAGATCCTGGCAGGTTCCCGAACATCACTGGTCAAAAGCGGGTGACTGCAACAAGTCCTTCATAGAGGAATTTGGGACTTGAACAATTCTCTGCTCAAGGTCACAAGCATTCGTGGCTTGGTGACTGTTGACCCCTCTGCAACAAGTGAATAACTTGTGTGGGTTTAGTGGAAAAACCCAACTTGATTTCAACCAAAAAGTTAAAGTCTACAGATCCAACCCATTAGCGCCAGGGGTGCTTTGTAGTTACTTCACATCGTCTAGCGCCAGGGCTGCTTTGTAGTTGCTTCACATAGCTCAGGTCCGCGCATGGATCGAGGCCCATCGATGCCGCAGGCGCCTGAACAGCTGCTGAGAAACCTACAGGAAGCTCTACAGGTGACTTTTGGTGGGAATTCGGCGAGTTTCCTGTAGAATTTCCTGTAGCTGGTTTCTATGAGACAAGCAGGGGACTTGTGACGGCTGGGTTCTAACAAACGAGTTCTAGAAGGCTAGAACAACCTTTCTATCATCCGACATGCTTTGGGATTTGCTAAAGACTTGTATTGGTACCTGATTACATACTGTGTGGATGGACGAAATCATGCACCGCCTAAGGAACCCTGGACCAACAAACAATGGTTTCAACCATGATTTCATGTCGTGGTGCGAACGGATTTCGTCCATCCACAGTACGGTCACCCCAAAAGAAGCGCGCCTTGCGTGACCGAAGGCTCGCGCTAGCCGGCCGTGCTGGCGTCCGCTTCCATTCGCCTCGTCTTGTCTCCATGGATGATGTCAACCCCCCCTTTTGGTAGGATCGTTCATTCATCCCGGGTTCCAGGCCTGGCAATTCTGAAGTCAATGACTCGCAAAGCGGATCAGTTGCGAGGAACTCACGGCAAACATCTGGGGAAATGTTGCGAAGTCGATTCAACAATCTGTGACTCGCAAATTTCCCTTCCCGAGTGGATTGGCCAAAATGTCCTCCCAAAACGTGAGTCAAGTCCAACTCCGAATAAAAGGGAGCCACCCCCTCCACAACTCCACCTCCGCCCTCTCTGCCGCGCCGCCCTCCCTCTGCGGCTCGCGGACCCGCGGCGGCGGAACGGCGCTGCGCAGCTGCGGCGCGGAGCTTGGCCGCGGCGGGGCGTTGTAAGCCGAGGGTAGCACCGGCGGCGGCGGAGCCCGCCGGGCCGCGGACGGCGGGCGCCGGCCCGCGGACGGCGGCCTGGGGGCAGTCGGGGGCCTGGTTTTTTGGGGTCGAAAGACTCTTGGTTGACGTTGGAAGGGGAGCAACAATTTCGACTTAGCAGTCAAGTGGGAGTTTCCCACTAAACCACAATGAGCAAAAATGTAAAATCCCAACAACAACAACCATGGACTGGGCTGCAACGACCCCTCCGCAAGAAGTGAACCACTTGTTGTGGGTGCAATACGGAAAACCAAGTTGGTTTACCGAAAAGTTGAAGTCCAAACTTCATGTTGCAGTGGAGCCCCCTGAGAAAATTGGAAAATATGTCCGGTACTGAAATCGATTCCCTTTAAAGCCCCCCCCCCCCAAAAGATAATAATGAAAATATACTTTTCAGCAAATGGAAGACAAGCACCCTTTGGTGGACGTCATGTAGATGGGGACTCATGTCCAACCACCACTAGGTCCGCCAGTAGAGAGGTTAGAATAAGGGCATCCGATTTTTTGCCTGTCGTCTATTTTAGTAGGGGAACCGAATCTCCCCTAAAAAACGGGTGAAAGGGCACTGTGGGACCTAGACTTTTGAGTGGCTTCCCTGCTAAAATATTCACCGTGGGCCGGTGGCATCCCGCATTTTGCCCTCGCAGGGCATGAGCTCCACGCTGCGCTCATGCCCGGGTGGTGAGGGGACTTGGCAGGGTTTTGGGCGCAAGCTTAGAACTCATAGGTGCCCTTTTAGGGGAAATAGATGGATATCCTGGTAGATGATTAAACCGCCAGGTAAACCAAGGCCATCTATTTTTCAGACAAAACAACCAAAAAGGACACCTATGTTTGAACTGTTTCGGGGCTCCGTCAGGGTGGATATGTGTGGGGCTATGGGTGCGAGGGGGTTGTCCACGGGTTGATCTTCGGTGGTGCGGCTTTCCTTGCGCCGGCGCGGGTTGGGCCTCAACTTGATCCGGCTGAGCCAGCCCCAACCAATAAACTTCCCACCTGGCCAAAAGTCTGAACCTCTGAACCCACCAACGGCCTCTCAGTCACTCGGCCCAGCCGAGAGCAAGCGGTGGGCGAAAACGAACACGCGGACTTTCTGTTCGAAGCCGATTTGCATATCCTTCCATTTGCTTGAGCCCGCTGCAAAAAAAATGTGATATTTCCAGCAGTGATAGATTCCCCTTAAAACCACCAGGGGAAACATGAGATGCTCCCAAGCAAAGTGTAGTACCTCCTATGTTTCTTGCACTCGCACCCGCTGGAAAAGCATCAGCCAGGCGTTCAACGTCTCCTCTCAGCAAGCTTGCCTGCGGATGATTGGGGGACCCGTTTAGCGGGCTCTAGGTAGGAGATGTTGCATCTCGACGAAACCCAGTGGATAGAACCCCTTCAACAGGTCACCCAAGAGTACAAAGGCTAAGCCCCTGCCTTCGTCTTGCCAAAGGAGCAGACGCCGGCCGTGACAGAGTCTTCGGAGGAGAGCCTAGCTTCCTCAAAGCAAATCACCGCTTCCAGTTACAAAGTTGTGTCACATCTAAATTAGGCGCCCCCCGCAAATGGCGCCAATCCTGTCTATGACATGATGGTTCACCTTCTTGGCAGTTGCTCGGAAAGTATGTATGTGGGTCCCCTCACTGGCACAAAACTTGAAAATTGGTCAACTGTCAGCTGGCGCTCTGCTTACCTGTTTGGCAAGCAACAACCACAACTGGTGTTCAGCACAAGGGTGTCACACGGGTTTCTCCTTTTCAGGGTGCCCTTTTCGATGGCTTCAGAGGAACCCACAACTTCCATTTGCTTGAGCCCCTTGGGAAAAAGGAGAATATGTCCAGTAGTGATAGATTCCCTTAAAAACAAAACATGGAAAGTAGAAGGAAACCGCTCATACATTACTTCTTCTTCTTCTTTTTTATTTGAGGGGGGGGCCCCCTATGTCGAAACAAACCGGCATATTTGGACGTGGGCCTCCATGGCAAGTTTACCATGTCCAGCATGGGCGACCGCGGCTGCCAAGCCGAGAAGGAGCACATCCTCGGCGCAGTCTCAAAAGGAACCCGGGCCCCTAAACTCCCGAAAATTGGATGCGCTTTTGGTGGATTTCACTTGTTCTTGCCCCTGTTGGTCCTTTTTTGGTACTCGTCCAGTACTCTTTTAATACTCTACAGGGGTGGATCCACAATAGTTACATCCAAACCGTTTCTAAGCAAGCAGGACACTAGCAACGTAGACGCCAAGAGGTGAGTATGGAATGTTATTTAATTGCCAACGATTTCAATCAGCGCATAGACAATTTTGCAGCTTGTGAAAAATGAGAGACCATGCTGAAAGATCCTGTAAGAGGTCGTTGGGTACTGGGATTGGGCTGAGCTTGGGTCGCCATTGAAGGAGGACTGGTGTTTTCCCCTGCCGAGACTCACTGTCATCCTGCGGGTCACCGCCAGTGTGAATGCGAAATCCAAGTGGCAAACGAGCTCTCTGTGGCTTTGTGGCTGGCGGTTCGTGATTTGCGGGCTGCAGAAAGGCCAACGGTCTTTCTAGGCTGGCTATCAGGGGGAATTTGGCAGTGGTACCCTCAAGAAGCATTGGGTTCACAGAAGGGCCAAATGCAAGCGCACCTGTAGCCGAAAATCACGGGGCAGCGGATGTATCAGCTCGGCGGAAGTCATGAAACGCGTGCAAAGCAATTGTAGCGCCTCTCAGGGTGGTCCGAGAGTGCGCACCTGACCTTTTTTCGCAGCTCGCTGGTGTCGCTGGAGGTTTCGCATCAGAGCTCCTTCTTCTGCAGGGAGGGCGGCAGGGATTGCTTCAACTTGTCTGCCTGGCATCTTTGAAATTCGACCGAGCCGAACAAAATGCGGACATCTGGCCGAGACAGCATACAGGCCATCGCGACAGCACAAGCCCGACCGTGCGCCACCGCCTTCGGCAAAATTATTTTTTTGGGGGGAAGACAGACCCATATAGCCAACACGGTTATGATGCTTGCTGCAAACTTTTGCAGTGGTTCCCGAGCAAGAATACCTAGCACCGTGCAGCTTCACCTTAGCGGACAAGAAGAAGGAGCTTGTTGGGCTGGCAAAAAGTCGTGGCAACAAAGTAGAAGCAAGTTTTTGAGTTCGTGCGTGCGACAGGAGCGCAACCTGCCCCCCGAATCATCAGCATGCTGGCTTTCAAAAACAAGTCGCCTTTTTCCTTGCTATAAGAAATCCGGGTTTGTCTCAAAGGGGCGCCGCCAAAATAGATGGTGTCCTTTTGGCTGCCCTTTTAACCATCTGGATTCCATTAACCTGAAACCAACCCTAATCCTCAACGAGGCCACCCATATCATAACCTACCTGAGCCAACCCAATCCACCTTCGGCGGCTGCATGTTTTTCTTTGTGTTTCTCTTTTCTTCCGGGCATCTACCCTTGGGGGGCCTGTACCTCTTCCGACCGAAAGCTTGCACCGGACATGGCATGCCTTGCCCTTGTCGGACATGATGAGAGTGTACAGGTACTTGCTGCACCTCACACAACTAGCAGGCACGGCTCCCTTCCCAAAAACACGGACCTGATCTTGAACTTCGTCTGGGTGCCATTCTTCTTGATCTTCACGGACCGTGCGTCCTGGACGTCCCGGATCTAGGGCTTTGGCCGCTGGGCTCGTGCAAGAAGACACTTTGAGACTTTGGATTTGGAGGGCATCTCATCCTGCCTTGCGCCTTGCAATCTGCAGGAATTGGCGGATCTCCTGAGTGCTCGCTCAGGCATGCTTGAGGGGGCCTGCTCTTATAGCTTTTGATACGAGTCAAAGGGTTGGTCGCAAACTCCTAAATCCTCGCCAAATGAAAACTGCTAAGACAAACCCTACATGCTCCCTTGTTCAACAAGCGCCGGAGGGTATGAAGAGTTGTAGGACAAGTCTCCGTGATCTGCTTCGGCATCTTTCCAAGGATGAGCCGACAAGGACAAGCTGCTTGAACCGACTGGCCACGAGCAGGGTTCGGCGGCAAGATGTTGCTTCATGAATCTGATAACTTTTTCTACAATTCCTGAAGCTGAATCTAGTGATCCCCAAGTAGAGGACCTTTATCATGGTAAGCTCGTTTTACCCCCAGGTGAGCTCGCTTTAAAATAGGCAGATCAATGCACTTTGACACACCCCAGGCGGCATTCCCACCACGACACAACAATCACATTGGCACCATGGACGCCTCACCGCGCTGGTGTGCTACGGAATTGAGTCGTGCGGTACGTGTATTGAGCTTGGTCATTACAGCAGCTGCCATTTCGGGAGATGCGAGCACGGGTGTCGGGTTGCGTGGGCGTCAGGGCGTGGTGCACAGGTCATTTGGCCGTCTTTGCCTGCTGTGCCTTCATGCGAGCTCGTGCTGTTCTGCAGGCAGGCCCACCTTTTGCATGCACGATCACGGGGGCGGGAGCCTAAATTCTGAAGCCTCAAATGCAACTCAATGCTCGCCCCGCTTCCCTTGCCATGCGATGGCAAGGGCTGAATTACCCATGCAAGTCTAGAGACCGGCTCCAAACCAACTAGCCAATTCCAGGATTCTGTGCCGACAGCGACGCACTCAGCGACGCACTCAAGAACAGATTGTTCGAATGGAAAAACATGCAGGCACCCGGCAGTGAGACCCTGGGACCGTTTCATTGCACGCAGCTTCGAATTAAACTTCGCAAAGGGCCTCGGAGTCGGAAGCGTACCCCGCCATACCCAGCCATGAGTCTCGGGTGACAACTGGCAGAAGGAAACCCTCCGAAATGTTCAACATGCCCCCCTGCAGACTAACATGGAACCCGAAAAGCCGTCACTTTTGGGTGGAATCTCCCGTGAGCGGCACTCCTTAGAGGTTCCTTGTTACTTTGCAGGTGGGTATTCCACTGTGACTCTGCATTGGATCCGTCAGCTTGGCATCGAGACGGGCGCTCTTGCGGCCGTCCCAAGCGTTTCCCAGCCTCAGCGATGCCAAGCACAAGGGGAGTGAGTTGCCAAGTACTTGGCTTCTTTTCAGAGTGCCACCTTGCCCCGCCTAAAAAGAGCCCTAATTTTGACAACCCGCAAATTGTGGGCTTGGCAAGGACCGATGGGTTGCCTATGCCCCCTTTTCGCCGCGCGCGCTTTGGCGGTTCTATCTGGAATTTCTTTGCCGGCCTCTCCTAACTCAAAATAAAGAATGGCCCCGTCTGAACTGTATGGCCTTAACTTTTCTAAAGCACGTCGTGAACAACTTGCTGGTGCTCAGGAGGGAATGCGCGAATGAGCCAAGGAGCCAAGGAGTCCTCTTAAAGGAACCACAAGGGGTGGTTCATAGGGGTCATTCCCTCATTCCCTGCTGGGCACCAGCAAGATACCTGAAGGTTTCTTCGGGACAGCCTGTTAGACCACCAGGCGAAAGGCTCTGCCCCTCGGCAGAGCTGCGCAGAAACTTGTGAATGCGCAAGGTGTGGAGTCAGGCCAAGCTATGACACATGTCATCAATGCATGCTGGGTAGCCCGACTTAGCACCAACTCCTTTTGGGGGGAAGAAAGGAGAAGTAGACACAACCCTGCCTGAATGCATCAATTCAGGCCCCTGCACGATTTCATTATACATGCCACAAGCTTGGCAAGACTACTTCTTCTCTGCGAGCTGGGCATTCACCCGGTGATTTTCACAGTGGACCCTTTGGTGGACATCGCGTCAACCACCTGTAAGGCGGTTTCCTATTAGAATAAATGGCCAACTCGGTTGGGGTCACTCCCCGGCTGACCGCGCGGGCCATTTTGGCCACGCGAAAGGGCGGGTCTAAATAGCGTCGCCCATCTCCAGGCTCTCATCATCCATCTTGGCCTTCTGCAGGCGAAGCCCTCTGTGGCGCCAAAGCAGCACCAGCAGCACCGTCAAGGCCACTGACAACCTGAATCTCAATCACTTTCCAAAAAAAAAAAACCGCACCAAGTCTTCTTGGGCTACTCGATTCTTCTTGAAAAAAAAAGCTGGGTGTCTTATTCCCATCATGTAGTTTACAGGAAACCCCTCCAACCGGGTGTGTCTTTAGGGCACCCCGCAAAAAATATACGGGTGTTCCTCTCGGTTTCCCTTGGACACCACCCAAAAGAAGGAGTACCAATGAGTACCAGCTAGCAAAAAAACGGTTCTCCTTTTGGCTTCCCTTTAAAACCCATTTTAAAAAGCCAGGAGTACCAAACACCCCCCCCAAAAAAAATAAAGAAGCAAAAAAAGAAGAAGAAGAAAACGACGTCCCGCAGCAAGAGGAGACAAACACCTCACGACTCGCGCTGGGCATCCTTTTGACGGGGCGCAGGATGCTCTGCAGCGGCCAGCCCCGCACCTCCGGCAGCCGGCCGCACGCCTCCTGCGCCGTGGCGGCCGTGGGGACCTTCGCACCCGGCAGCGGCGCAATGCCGTGGCACCTGGCTGGGAGAGGACTCCCCCCCCCCGAACTCCGGGGGGGAAAAAAGGGGGGACGTGAGCTAGCTCGAAAAATAATAATCAAACAAAAGGTTCAAACATGGAATATCCCTGGAGGCTTGGTCTTAAAGCCCTCGATTCCCCCTTCAATCCGGAGAAAGGGTTACAAGAAAGCGCACCTTTTAATAGCTGAAATTCCTGTTCACTGTGTTCATGGATTCATTGGACTTGAGCCCCTTAGTGGTTCATTAGCGGCTCGTTAAATTGAACTTTTGGTGAGATTAGGGGGGGTTAGGGTTCCAAATCAAATGTCTAAATTAATAGTTGAGTTGCTGGTCGAAGGGGTGTAAATAGTATGGGCACACGGCTGAAACGCTTTTTGAGTCTGGCAATCTAGTGGTTGGGCTAGAAGTTCAGCTTTCCGCGGGGATCCCGCGACTGGGATCTGGGTCTGTCTCAATAATAGGGGACCCGCCCTTTCTGGATGGTCTAACATCCGCACCTCTCACTAACAAAAACACATCCACGAAACTCTCAAGTCAATCAAAGGCCCAAAGTCTGAATGTGTATCAACCCGTGGGAAGTACCCCCTGGTTTGTGGGTTCATGAAACGCTCCCCCCCAAAAAAAAGGGGTGCAAAATGGCCATGGGTTCATGTATGAACCCAATCAGCCTTTGAGCCAAATGGAAACCCAACCACTAAACCAACCAAAAATCGGGAGAAAAGAAAGCTAGGGAGCCGGATGGCTGGGAGCCACCAAAAACAAAAAACACCCCCACCCCCCAAAGGGAGAGCGAAATGGCCGTGGCTCAAAAAACCGGCACCAAAATGGAACCCTGGGAAGTGGACCAAAACCTGCGTAACCCCTCCTGCTTTGTTTCGAGGCCGTGGGTGCTTTTTGGGCCTTTGAGTCAAGGCGCTGCAGCAGAAAATGGAGCTCCTGGGTGTCGAACGGCGCCAAGGCCACTTTCGCCAGCGGCTGCTGGCCTCTCTCCAGCGACGCGCTGGGGCTCGTGCCGCCGCACGCGTAGACCTCCAGCTCGGGGTCGTGACCCCTCTCCCAGCTGAGCTCCACCTTTCGCGCGGGCGGGTCCCAAAAAAAGGATGTCCCCTGTGTTCCTTTTTTTTGTTTTCCGCGAAAACCGACCAAAACGGGGTTCCCCCAAAATAAGCAGACCCTTTCCAACCCTTGGGGTGGTAGCAAAGCTCCGTGTATTTTGGCAGCCCACGAAGAAACAGAACCCAACAAAATATGAAAACCGGAAACCAAAAAAAAACATGCCAACAACAGTCAGGCCGCCATGGGATAGTTGTCCACGCCCCCCCGCTGTTTCAGAAACGCCTTCACTTTCGGCAGGGCGTTCAGTCGTCAGGCCGGACAGCTGACAACACGAGCACAGGGCCCTTGCCACAAGCCCGTCACATTTTGACAAAATACGCGGGGCAGAAAACAAACCACGAAAGTCCAACGGCGGGCAAGGAATCCAGACATTCTCTAAGTTTGAGCCAACTGTTGCAGAAGTGAGAGCGGGCGATTTTCTTTCTCTGATGTGCGAGGCCCGGGTGTCTGCTTTCAGCCAAGTTGCTTCGCTGTTGGCCCATCCTAAGCAACGGGTGCTGGTTTTGACTGCCAAAGAACAGGCGGAACTAGGGCTAAGAGAATCACACAAACTCTCACCTGGACTAGTCTGGGTAAAGTCCAACCAAATCTGGGTAATGTTTCGCTGCACGCAACACACTAATTCGCCTCTTGGTCATGCGTTCCTCCGTGTTTCCCGGAAAATCCCGACCCATGGCTTCTGAACCAAGCCAAAACTAATGGCCGCATCTTGATTACCCCTAACCTTTGGGCTGGGTTTCAAGAGAAACCAAAGAAAAGTCTCCGCCAGGTTCGCAGCCCTTCCCCTCCATCTTTGCCCGCGCGTTGTTTGGCGCGTTTTTGGCTAGGTTCTCCAGTAGAGAGGTTGGAAGGAGGGTACCCGATTTTTTTCTGGGTCTATTTTAGTAGGGGAACCCTCCCAACCAAAAAAGTTGAAAGAGAAGGGCACCTAGCTGGGGGACCTAGCTTACCATCTCCTACAAACGGTACCCTGGATTTTTCGGACCAGGTGTGATGATTTGGCTCCCCCCCCCCCCAAGAAAAAAAAAAAGAGAAGGGCACCTAGCTGGGGGACCCAGTTGGGGAGTTCGACCTCCGCCAGGTCTCCGGTGCTTGTAGCTCCGAATCTCGCTGCGCGTGAGCCGGTCACGGCGCCAGTCGGCCGAGGAGCCCCGGCGACGGCCGGGGCGCTTCTTGCCCACCTGACCGGTGCCGTCCGCCCTCGAAATTGGCCGGGCCCGCGGTTCTTTGACCCCGGTCCGTTTTCAGATGCCCTGCGAAAAGTGAGGATAGGTTGGATAACCTTTAGTGGGTTAAATTCGGAAACCCGACCACTGGACGAACGAAACATCTTAAAAGCTACAGTAAGGGGATGGCTGGGAACCACCAACTTTCCAGGATATCATGTTTGTTGCTTTATTTTTCTTGGAAACTGCAACTGAAAAATCCCCTCAAAACGACACACCCAAATGTGGGGGGCAAAACGGGTGGTTTCCCTTCAACATCCATACGAAAATTCTACCTTTTTGAGAAATTCCATTTGAGAGTGTGAAACCAGGGGGGTCCGAAATTTGCTGGATTCCTTTTGGTGCCCCTTTAAACCAAAGGTTGGTGAGGGTCACTCAAAACCAGCGTCCCCTTTCCGAAGAACGTGCCGAAAGAAGGCAGCTCCAAAGTTTTCAGGTTCACCGTCACTAATTCCAAAGAAATGCGGTTGAAATAAGTGCTGGCAAAGCAAAAAGCAGCGACACGAGCGCTACGATGCTGATTTGGCACCGTGGCCTTGCAGCATACTGCCCCATTCGTTGGATCGACGGTGCACGTGCCAGCCTGCTGGTACAGCGACTCCGGGAAGACATCGTCCATGACCTGCGCGAAGTCTCTCGCGCGTACCCTGCCCCTGGACCGAAAAAGTAGTTGGATGGCATGTGAGTCTCCCCATTCTTGGTTTGTCATTCCCTGCACCCAGGGAACTGTGGCGCCTACTTGCAGCATGGGCAAAAGTGAAGTGAAGGCCCACAGCACTTTCTAAGCAGATGCCGGGAGCCCACACACATCTGGGCACTTTGCCGAAGATGGTGTCCGGATCTATGTCCCCCTGCTTCTGCATATCCACCAAGTAGGTTTCCTTCATAGCCCAAGGAAAGAAGGCTCCAGAGCCTACAAAAGCACTTGCCGCAAAGCGGCACACCACTTTGGTACCGTCTTCTTCTGACGCATCCGGTCTCTTTCCGATGCATCCTCACCTCGACATGACCATGCCAATGCTGAGTGCGGTGGTGACAAGGCCGCAAACTGCAAGCGCCTTCTGAGTCGCCGTACTCCGAGATGTCGTAGCTGTCCTCTAAAACAGCAGTGCATGTGGTGATTCGTGACCCATGCGCCCGCTGCATGCACTCCACGGTTCCACTTTTTGACTACCCCAAGACAGGCTTGGTTCCCTTTTGGGGGCAATAACCCACCCCTGGGTTTAAGTCTACCCTGGGGTAGTCAAAAAGTGGAACCCTGTGCACATCTACCTCTAGATACCAGACTCATCTCTCACGCGCATTCGGATTTTCAGCGCCTGGCCTCTGGATTCCTCAGCACCAAGGCTCCAAGTGCAAGACAAGGAAGCCCAAGCATGTGCGAATCTAGGGGTTGATTCCCCAATCCTCTCCGAGTCTTTTTGTGGCTTTCTAGAGAGAAGGATCCCTGGAAAGAATGGGGAAGCTACCCTTAGAGTGAAGCGTCTGTTTTTGCGTCCTTCTCAGCTTGGTCTTTCCCCTGATTTCCTGTTCCAAGGGGGTGTTTCCCTTGAATCCACCTGGAAAAAACTGGCAAAACGCTTTGGGGCCCCAGATTTTGACATACTTGGTTGCTGTTGATCCCTCTGCAAAAAGTGAGTAACATGTTTGTTGGGTTCAATGGAAAACCGTTGAATTCAACCGAAAAGTAATTAAAGTCTAAAGACCCGTTACCCAATAGCAATCCAGCATACCCAAGTCGGTCTTTCCCTTGAATCCACACAAACAAACCAGGCTCTTAAAACTTGAACCCACATGGTCATGGGTGAAAAGCCTCCGGTGAACATCCCAATCCCCCACCAAAATAGGTTCTAAAATGGGTGGTGCACCTACCAACCAAAATGGGATCAACCAAAACGGTTTTGACCAGCGACATGAAGAAGCGGACCAAACAAAATCTCCTTGGGCCCCCGGGAAAAAAGCTGACGACGTCGCTGAGGCGGGGGCTTCAGTGGCAGCTCCATGCTGCGGAAGTCCAGCGCCGGGTCTCTGAAGACGGGCACATTGGGCGTCGGCGCCGCCGCCTTCTTGGGCTCCGCCTGGCGGAAAAGTGCTTTTTGGCAGCTTTCAAGGGAAACCAAGGGAGAAAAAACACAAAAAAAAGGGTCTCTCCTTTTTGGCGATTTTGGTGAGCGCCCCCAGAGACATGAGAGACCCTGTTCAAAGGCTGGAAACCACCTGGATCACCAAGTTGCGACCGCTTTTTTCCAGACGCTTTGGCCCAAAAACAGCCACAAATGCTGGGAAAAGTGGCAACTGGTGATCCAGCCAAGTTCAATGAAGAAGGCTTGAATCTGGATAGCTTGCCTTCTTGCGACATCCCCAACCAAACTCTGGCCCATTGATATGGAGTGGGCGCCTGTCGCTCCTGTCGCTCCTGTCGCTCCTGTGGGTCATGTGCAGGGGCACTGCCATGTTCTGCGCGCGGCGGCAGGGCTTTGACCGCGGTCTCGCCTCAGAACACAAGCTCAAAAAAATATTGCGCTCTATATGCTATGCCTGTCACGAATCATACTGTGACATTTTCGCACTGCTCGCGGAAAATTAGCACGATTATAACGAAATTTCGACCGATTTCTTGCAAATTTGCAGTCGTGAAAATGAACCAATTATATAACAGGGTAAGGTGCAAACACTCTCACGTGTCTGCCAAGTAGATTACCTCAAAACAGGCGCCCTAAATCTACGGCCGCGTCATGAGTGCAGTTTTGATCAGTTTGGCCGACATGCCGTAGGAAGGCGTTGGTGCCCGAAGATTAATGTGGTACCCGGGGTATCCCCTTGTTGCAGGTTCCAGGACGTCATATTTGACAAAGGCGGCGTGCATGCACGCCGCGTGTCTCTAAAACAGGTACATGTGCAAAATGTGTGCGCCTTGCTAGTTCCAGGGTGGGCAAAGTGAGCAGGCTGCATACCAAAAGGTGCTGTGGCAAAGTCAAGTGTTGCAGAAGTATGCCGCTCAAAACCGTGAGGTTTGCCCACAAATTCCAACACCGGCCGAACTCACAGGCATCTGGGCGAGTTCCGCCGACAGTCGCCTGTCAGGCCAAAGCTACAGTTTCGTCGGGGCACAACTAAGACTGGCAATCGAAGCAAATGCTCCAGCACGACGTGCGTCCTGCAGGCTAAGCAAAGACCGGACCGGAGACAAATCGTCATTCCCGAAGAGCCCAGCCCTCAAATCCAAATCCTTATGCTCTGGCACATGGTTCACAAACGCGAGTCCGGTCCACGCGCGCAAGCGCCAAGCGCGCTGCTTGCGTCCGTGGCACGCTTCACATTCGATGCCAATCTTTCGGAGGCCTCTGGTCTGATGTTCTCCTGCTGCTCCCGCTCTCCTTAGCAATGGTCCAGCTTCCGAATCGGAGGTTACTCAGAAGCCCAGCGTTAGGAAAGGCCAAACGGCCAAAGGAAGCAAGAGGCCTGAGTCTTTCGTTCGAGTGTTCATGGGGAACCAACCCCAAAAGGCTGAAACGAAGAAAAGAAGGGCATCTGCCCGGGCATGCTAGCTAGGCAGCCGGCAAATCTCCCGTCAGGTCAGATTTCAAACTGACCCACTGCTGAATCCATATGAGCCTCCAAAAAGTCCACGAGCATGGTACACATGGAGCAAACTTAGGGGTCAGTTCAAACGAGCACTACGGGAGTCTCCTGATACATCCTTTCGCCTTCTGGCCTCCGCGCTCTGTTGGACAAGCTGCGGAGAATAGAGCGTGCGACGGCCTCAGGAAACTTCGCAGATGCAATCGCAGCAAGTCACGCTGAGTTCATCAGTGTGCTGCTGCGGCTGGACGAAACCCATTTTGCACCCCTTTGAAACCATGGTTCAAGCCATGGACAAGATAAACAAACAAAATCACCAAACAAGGCATCCAGTAGTGAAATCGATTCCCTTCAAAACCCAAAATAAGGCATCCAGTAGTGAAATCGACCTTTAAAACATCCAAAACCCAAGAAGGAAAATGAAAAACACACCTCTCAAAATTGTTCAGCTGGTTCTTGAGGCGCCACATGCGGCAAGGCCGCCTGCGCGGGATTCGTCGCCGCGGGGCCCGGACACGCACTTGCCGGACCTGGCGGAGAAAACCGCGGCGAGGCGAGGCTGCGCTTTTGGGTGGAACCTGGTGCTCATGTACCCCCCAAAAATGGAAAAAAAAGGCTTCCTACCAGTCAAAAAATGGGGCAAACAAACACTTATATATTGACGAATGCCCTTCTGCATAAACACCCCCCTCGATACGCGGGACAAAGTGCGGGACAAAGTGCCGGACAAAGTGCGGGACAAACTGCTGGACAAACAATTGTCCGGCAAGTTGTCCGGGGGGTTGTCCGGAGGGTTGTCCGGAGCCGAGTGGTTTTGAGCGGGTTCCGAGTGGTTTCCGAGTGGTTTCCGAGTGGTTTCCGAGCGGTTTCTGAGTGGTTTCCGAGTGGTTTCCGAGTGGTTTTGGCGTCCGAAGACTTGTCCGGGGGTTTGTCCCGGGTTTTTGGGACCTCAAAGCTGTCCGGAGGGTTGTTCGGGGGTTTGTCTTTTGGGCCCTCAAAGCTGTCCGGAGGGTTGTCCGGGGGTTTGTCCGGGGGGTTGTCCGGGGTTTTAAGCCCGTTTGGGCCCAAAATATGAAAACGGGTGTTTATGCAGAACCGCCTCTGTCAACTTATATACTTAATTGCATGTCAACAAAATGGAACCCTGGAGCCTCATCTTCACCGCCTCGATTGAAGCCCTGTCCCTTTCACAAACAGTAGCTATTGGCTATTCCTTTCGTCATTGGCTTCCTTAACTCGCAATTTGGTGGTTCTTCCGCACATGCCTTCTCAAAGGCTGATTGCGCACATCCATACATGAACCCACGGTCATTTTGCACCCTTTGCCAGCTGATTTTCCATAATTAAGCCATAGCTAACGTTAGTCCATATTGTTATGGGTCAAAAATAAACCACCAGGAATTGGACCGCAGGTTTCAGTCCATGGTTCCATTTCTCAGGGCAGCCCATTTTGGGGTTACCCGATTTTGACCCACGGCCATTTATCTTGAAGGGATGACCCTTGGGAAAACCCACAAGGGAAAAAATACCACATGGGAAAACCACATGGGAATAGCTACATGGGATATAGTTCAACCACATGGCCATTTTGGGGCCAGGGCCATATTGATCAACCCCCAAGAACGACCTACCCTCCCACCAGCCAGCATGGAAGTACACAAACCCCTGTAGAAAGACGACTCTCCTCTTGGAAAGGGCCTGTTTGCACTTCCGCGTTGGTTGGTGGGAGGTTAGAATAAGGGTACCAACTTTTTTTCTGTCGTCTATTTTAGTAGGGGAACCCTTCCCCCAAAAAAACAACGGTAAAAGGGCACCTAGCTGGGGGACCTAGCTTTTCTCCCCTTGAAAGTCTGAGTTGCTAAACTCTAAACAATAAAAGGCTAAGGGGATGGCTGGGAGCCACCAAGAATATTTATCAACCCCATGAAGGACCAAAACCTGGGGGACCTTCCTTGAACCTTCGATCTGGCCTGTCGGCTTGGCACGGGGAAGGTTTTTGCCTGGCCGCGGCTTGGGCGGCGGCAGCTCGCCCTTGCCCCGGCCCTTCTCGCCCTTGCCTCAGGCAGAAGGATGGGCAAGGACCCACTGTTCGAAGGCGGAATGTATCTGGGATCATGGTTTTGACGGTTTCCGTCGGCGATCAAAGTCAGAGAATGGTTGTGTCCCATTTTAACCTGCCACTGACCACGGGTGACTTTGATCACGTGAAACACTGGGGCCAGTGCATACGTCCATACATGAACCTCTGCCATGAACCCATAAAAATGCATCTGCCAAAGTGAAAAGGTTCGCAAACTCCCCTTTGAGCAGCTGCCTTCCAACATACTGCTGCTACGTCCAGATTAAAAAAAAAGAAGGCGGCTACACAAGAGGCTGATTCTGCGTGGAAACTGCAGCAGCCTCCCCCCAAGATACACCGGGCAAGCCAAACGCGAAAGAAAAAAAGAAAAGAAACGATGCCGCGAAAAAGGGGGAAAAAAAGGAAAAAAAGGGGGGGAAACGTGCGCCGGGCACGTGCCAAGCTGCATCTCGGCTTCGCGAAGTCCGAGTTGCTTCGGCTGAGGGCTAGGTCTGAGTTGCTTCGGAAAAGCTCCTGGCAAGCCCAAGACCCGCCCTTGCCGCCCTCAGGATCCCATTTTATGTTGTTGTATTTTGTATTTTCATATTATTGTTTTTAATATATATATATATATATTGTGTTATTTATTGCTTTAAAGAAGAGGTCTTGTTGGGCGAAAGCCAACCCGCATGTCCTCCTTTGGGTTCCCCCTTGAAGCCAACCGGAAAAGAGGCAGTCTTCTGGTGTCCTTAGGCTTCACGTCAGGCCGGGCCCAGGCTTGCACCGGCGTGAAGAGTGAGCTGCCGTCCACCTCTTGCGCAATCCGACTTCAGCCGGAAGGGGGGGCCGGCAGAGGTGATACCCAACATGGGTACTACGTCTGCTTTAGTAGGGGAACCCTCCCCCAAAGAAGGGTAAAAGGGCACAACTGGGGCACCTAGGGGCCCCGGATTCATAAGCTCCAGTTTGTTCATAGGGGGCGTTCCCTCCAGTGATGATTCCCCTAAACCCCCAATGAACTGGGATTGATCAATGTGACATCAACATTCATTATGGTGCGGTTCCAATTGTTTTTAGGGTTCCCTGCTAAAGCCCCCCCTTTAATCCAGCTTTCATAGCGTCCTGCTAGGGCCTTTGCCTTGGGCCACCGACTTCATGTTGCAAAGGGGTGCCACGCGTTTCAAAGGGAAACCAAAGGGAAACTAGGGAGACACCCCCCCCAAAAATGGCAGCTTTATTTACACCAACCCCCCAAAACGGAACCCTCAAAGGAAAGAAAACTACACACGTGGCACAAGTGTACCTTGGGACCAGCGGGATCACCTCATGAAGCTGCCCAGCATAGCGGCTCTTCAGGGTTTCAAATGGGAAGCCCCCATAAGGGGTGCCTTAGTTAGACCAGACCTTGCCCGTCTTTTTTCTATAAAAAATCCTGGGACCCCCCCCACACTTTTAGCAACATTTTAAAACAGCACCTCAAACAGCACATTTTCAAAAATCAACATTTTAAAGCAGGTAATTTCCTAGTAAGTTCATCCATATTTTAAAATATATTTTTTAAAAATAAATTTTACAAAATTTTTAAAAAAATAAATTTTACAAAAAAAATTAAAAAAATTAAATTTTAAAAAATAAATTTTAAAAAATAAATTTTACAAAAAAAAATAAAAAAAATACAAAAAAATAAAAAAAATAAATTTTCAAAAAAATATTATTCCAAAAATTATGATAAATTATTATACAATAAATTTTATCACAAATTTTGTAGACATATTATGGGCAAGGTCTGGTTCATTCGTTTTTAAGGTATTAAAGGTTTGATTTTATGTAGTTCAAATGGTTTGTTCTGTTCAGTTGTTTGTTCTGTTTGTTCTGGGTTCTGTTGTTGTTTTAGGTTGTTCTGATGCGTTAAGGATTGTTCGTGTTGTGTTTTCTTATAAAGTTTGACATCATAACCGCATAATGGACAATGATGTATTTTTTGGTTATATTCCTTGTGATATTCTTGTAATTTATCCTTATTCTGGTTGCGATACTCCTTCTTTTTTGCATTGAGGTTGTCTTTGTTGGTTTCATAATATTCTTTCCATTTGATTTTGTCAGTTTCCTTGTTTGCTTCGTGTCGTAATTTTCTTTGTTGATTTAGTTGTTCTTGGTGTTTCTTATGATATGCTCTCATATATTCACGGCAATTATCACACGTTTTATATTTACCTGTGTCAATTGCATTTTTGCATTTCAAGCATTTTACAACGTTTTCCATATAGTTTATTAACATAATATTACTTTAAGTATATACCACGCTCAACAATGCTAAATTAAAATTGCCGTTAGGATTTCTAATGTCAACTCACTTGGTATTTTATATAATTCGTCCTGCTTGTGCGTGATGTAGTAGTCGCCCCAGTCCGCCTTCTTTCCGCTTGGTAGTCGCTGCGCCGTCTCCACATGCTTGCCGTTCCTACACTTCCAGTTCCACTAAATAATTCTAATAAACTCATATTATTAGAACTATTTGTATTTTAATTTTCAACAATTACATATTTACCATCATCGCCCTTAATTAGTTTATAATATTCTAATGTTTGTTCTTTTGGACTTTTGATTTGTCCCTTATTTAACATATCACAATATTTTTACGCTTCGTGTCATAATCACCGCTGGGTCTGCCTATCCCTTTCTTTTCAAACATCTTATCAATCTTTTCCTTCTCTTCATTGTTATTTTTTGGTTCGTTTGCCTTTGCATCAAGTTTCTGGTCAATAGTTTTTATCATCTCGTACAACAGTTTAACATTTTTACTAACTGTCATTATCTTCTTTGATAGTTCAACAATAACATCATTTTCAACTTCAGACATTTCTATATATATTTATTTATATAATTATTTATTTAAATATGGTTTATTTATAAAATTGATTTAATGTAAAATCTACTCTTTAAGTACTAAATTTTCATCATTTGTTTAATAGTTTCCTGTGCTTCGTTATCACCATTATCGGATGGCGACGCATGCCTCCCCCATTTAAAAGTTATATTATGAACATCCGTTTCCAGATTTATACTGTCTTTGGTTTTATCAATATTCATTTTCTTATCGTTTTTACTCAATTTGAAATTTGTCGGAATACACGAACATTTACAATTTCCTTTCTTTTGTATTTCTATTTCATTTTTCATTTCTAACATCTTTTTACACATAGGACACTCAAACTCGGTTAGTGCTGTTTCCTTAACAATTTCTTCTTCTTTGTCTTCATCTGTTGAAGAAACTGTAGTATCCGTTTTATTCTTTTTGTTTTTCTTTTTTCCCATTTATATTAATGTTTACATTTTTATTTTTGATATATTGTATTCCTAATTTTATTAATTCTAATGTATAAAAGCATACTTTCTTACATCTGTTGTCAGTTATTATCACTTGTTCTATATTCTCTACTTCATCTATTATATCAATATAATCTGAATAACTTCTATCCATATTAAATAATAAGATAAATTATTCTAATTAATCTTATTATTTCATGCATAATAGAATATTGGTGGGGCACAGCACTTGGGTTTTCATTGCACACGCGAGCAAGACACAAAACTAATTATCTTCAATGCTTATTGATTGAAGCAATGGAAAACCTGTTCCATTATGTTATTCACCGCCACTCATAACATAATGATGTTCCATTTAATATTAACTACAAGTTAATTTTTAAATATAATTTTCTATATTTCTTTAATATCAACTATGACAGATGTCCCAATAATAAAACCAATAAACGTAACTGAATATGAATTCAAACAATCTAAATATGAGCACGTGCCAAAATTACCATTTAGAAGTATTATAGTTGCGAGTTCGACGGGAGGAAAAACAGTTTTCGTTCAGAATCTTATTTTAAATGTTTATAGAAATTCATTTGCAAGAATATTTATATTTTCCCCCAGCGTTCATAATGACCCAACTTTTACAGAAGTTAAAAAATACATCAGGGATGAATTGCACGTAGATGATGAAAAAGAACAAATATATTTTGATAATTATAATCCAAGTGATTTAGAAAATGTAATTGAAAGACAGAAGAAAATAATTAATTATATGAAATCTAAAAAGATAAAGAAACTGCATTCAATATTAATCGTTATAGATGACCACGCAGACGATCCTAAATTTGTTAGATATAGTAAATTATTACATGGATTATTTACAAGAGGTAGGCACGATGCAGTAAGTGTAATTTGTTCAACACAAAAATATAATGTTTTAGCGCCTATCATTCGTTTAAATGCCAGTTCATTATATATTTTTAGGTTGAAAAATGCAAGTGAGTTAATGAGTTTTATTGAAGAAAATAGCGCCATTGTTGATAAACAGCAATTATTAGATATGTATCATCAAGCCGTTAATGACGCACCTTATAGTTTCTTCTACGTGAATATGAATGCTAAAGACATTAACAAAATGTTTCATATCAGATTTGAACAGGCGTTTCAAATTACGAATGATGAATAAAGATATTCTAATTTAATATAATATAATAATATGTCAATGAAACTATGTAGATGTGGTGGATTTTATCGTAGAGGTAATTATAATTTTCATACTAATTCTTGGATACATAAACTTTATAAAGTATTGAAAAGAAGGGCAACAGACGAGGAATTATTAAGATTTCAAAATAATTTTGTTGATGAAGAAGATTTAATAGATGATATATGTAGCAATGCATCAACGAAATTACCCGATAGTGAAATGACAGATTATGATAGTAATCAATAATATTAATTTGTTTTAATATTATTAATTTAAAATAATGAATAATTACATAATTGAACAGGTAATTTATATATTAATTTGTCAGATTTTTCTTTCTCTAGTTTCTCAATTCGTGCCACACATTCTTGAAGAGATTTAATAATTAAAGTGTCTGCTCGTGTTTTTTCATCTATACTTAAATTCTTAATGTCTTCCAAACTATTATTTTCATTATTTTTACTTTGACCAATACCCATTATATATAATATTATTTAGATTTTAATTTTTCAAAATTGAAATGTTGGTTTTCTTCTTCTTCTTCGTCTTCAGTTGGTGCTGGTATTTCTGTTGGACTTTCAGATGAAGAACTATGGACAGTAACAGGTGGAGAACTATGAACACTAATAATTTCATTAGAAGAACTACTGCTAGCTTGTGCATTTCCTGCTGTTATTTGATTGACTAAATCTGCGATATTTATAGTTGTTGCAATTGCGCTGTGCGATAAGTTTAATATGATATCTGCTACTGTAGCGCCGTTGTGTAGCATTATTTCTATCATTTTTGTCAGTTTGAACTTCTTTTCTTCTTCATCGCTGTCATCCTCATCTGGTGGTTTCTTTGGCGGTGGTTCTGGCGGTTTGTTGTTGTCGAGCATTTTAGTAAAGGCTGACACCATCGCGTCGCGTTGGTTTTTCAGTGTTTGTGTTGCGTGTGTTCTTGTTGGTTCATTTCTCTTGTGTGTGTTGCGCCAAAAGTTTTTAAGCATTATTTTAAACATATTGTCTTGGTTTTCCTTTACCTTAAACGCTTCAAATGTCATATTTAATGGTTGATTTGCATCATTGTATAACTTTTCTTGAGTCTCTCTGGTTTCTGTGGCGATTGTATCTGTGTTGGTTGCAATGTCAATAAACTCTCTCGGCGTGCCCTTTTTCATCAATTTCGGTGGTTGTATTGTTGTTGAAGTGTTTGGTTTTGTTAGGTTATGTATTGTAAAACTGTCGTGATCATATTTATCATTGAACTTTTGCTTCTTTCTTTTCAGTATGTTTTTAGTT